AGGTATGCAAATTATTACATTATTTTTGGCAATATTTGAGTAATTTGAAAATATTTATCTAAATTTAAAATGTGCATAGCCAGCAATTCTAAGAATTTATCTTACAGAAATAATGTCTTACAGAAAACATAATGATATGTTTTCTCTTTGGCGGGGGGGAGAGAGAGAGAGAGAGAGAGAGAGAGGTTTGCTGCAGTGTTGTTTGTAATCACATAAAAGGGAAGGAGGAGTGCAACAGAATAGTATATTCCTATATTTACACTCACATGTCTGTTGGCAGAGGACCTTAGTCCCTTACAACATGGACCTCTCCATAGGGCTAACTGAGCATCCTTATGCCATGGCAACTGACTTCTTGCAGAGAAAGTTATGTAAGAGAGAGAAAGATATATGCTGCCACCACAAAAAAATAAGTATGTGAGGTAATGCATATGTTAATTAGCTTAATTTAGTCATTCTACAATATATACATATTTTAAAATGTTGTACACGGTAAATATATATAATTTTTATTTGTGGTTTAAAAACTAATTAAAAATAAAGAAAGCTGCAATACCGTTTATGACCTAGTCTCAGAAGTCACACAATATCATTTCTATGACATTCTATTAATTAGCACTGAATCCCCAAATCCAGTCTAAGCTCAAGAGGTGGCAAATTAGGCTTCAGTTTTTGGGGGCAGAGGTGTTGAATAATCTGTGGACATATTTTAAAACTATTCCTCTTTGTCCTCTGGCTACAAGTTATTTACATTCTTCATATATGGAAAATATATTCATCCTCTTCATACCAACTCCCAGTGCCAAGTCTTAATCTTTTACAGCATCAGCTAAACGTCTAGAAATTTGCCATCTTAATCAGACCTAAATGTGAATGCGGCTTCTCTAGTGTTGTTTTTTAAGTGCAGCTCCTTGAGTACAGTTCCTTTTAACTCAAGTCCTGTGGGTTTAAGAGACAAGTTACCCATATACTCATCCAACATGCGTAAGATAACTGTAGACAATCCTATTCAAAGAGTGGAAAAATGGGAAGCCTAAAGCAATCACTGGTCCATAGCAATTCTGAAATCCACCCAGGCACATGTTCAATGTTTCTTGATTCTAACTCAAGGAACTTCCTAGGAATGGTTCTCCATGGCTCTTGGCTGTACCCTTTGGTTTATTGGTTCCCTCCTCTGATTAATCTGTCCTTCCCCTTGAAAGGTAGACTGTTTTGGAGCTGTGCAGTTTTCTCAGGAAAACTTTGGAATTTCAAATGCCTCCTTTCATTGTGTCTTATCTCTGTTCCCTTCAGTCTAAGCTGATGGTATTTCTGTCAATATCATTATTTTTAGAAACTTTCTGAATCCCCTACGAACCTTATTCAAGCTCACTTCATTAGACAAAAGTCATACCCCAAAACATTTTCAAGGAAAGTTCTTCTCTACTTTGGGCTTCTGCTGAACTGTGGAAGGACAATACCCTTAAGCTTGTTCAAAGCTCTGTTGTTTCACTGAGTGGTTCTCAGAGGCACCATCTTACATCTTTCTGAGATTGCAAACAAAGTATTGTGCAGCCACACTCTCATCTTCATCTCTGGAACATATCTTTCCATAGTGCCCTGAATTTGATTTTTGCTGGGAAGCCATGACTTTATTTTAGGTTTGTTTGCCATCTAGAGATGGTGAAGATTTTCAAAACCATCAAATAATGGCTTCTCACATTTAGCAATTCTTCTTTTTAGTTTATCTCCTTCCTCTCTGCTGTTTCACTGAGTGGTTCAAGAAGAAATCAGGTGAAATATTCAGCACTTTGCCTGGCTATCTCCTTAGGAAGATCACTCAGTTCATTAGGTACATTTTCTACTTTCCACATTACCACAAGTGATAGTATTGCAAAATTTCTGCCACTACATCCTAAGGATCCCTTTTCTTCAGGTTCCAATAAGCTTATTCTTACTTTTCTTTTAGCTTTTACCCTTAGCCTTCCTATAGCCATCAGGCTTCTATTAACAGTTTCATTAGGCTTTTTCTAATACTCTCCCTTAAAGCCTTTACAGCTTTTGCCCACATCCAGTTCCAAAGCCACGTCCACAGTTTTATGTATTTATTATGACAGCACCTATTTTGGGGTATCAAATCTGTATCAGTTATTTTCTGCTGTGTAACAAATTACTCCAAAACACAATAGCTTGTAACACCATTTATTATGTCACAGTTTCTGTGGGTTAGGCATCAGGGAGCAGCTTATGTGGGTGGTTTTGGCTCAGGGTCTCTCATGAGATTACAGTCAACATGTCAGTAAGGGCTATAGTCATCTGTAGGCTTGAAGGAGGCCCAAGGACCCACTTCCAAGATGGCTCACTCACATATACATTGGCAAAGGGCCACAGTTCTTCACTGGCTATTAACAGGAAGCCTCCATTCCTTGCTATGTTGGCCTTTCCTTACAGCGGCTTGAATGTTCTCATGACATGGAAGTTGGCTCCCCCAAGAGTGAGTGATCTGGGAGAGAAAGCAAGGATTGAGCCACAATGTCTTTTATGATCTAGTCTCAGAAGTCATACACTATAACTTCTGCCACATTCTGTCCATTAGAAGTGAGTCACAATGTTCAGTCCACACTCAGGAGAGGGGGATTAGTTTCTACCCTTTCACCTAGAAAATGTTGATATATTATTATGTAAAAAAACAAAGCAAGTTTTATATCTATATGCATAGCATGATTCCGTTTTGGGAGAAAGCAATCTAACCTTGCATATATGGGTAAAAACATAAAGAGTTCTTGAAACCTACAGACCAAAATGTTGATAGTTCTTACATATGTTAGGCAGTTGGAATGAGCCTAGTGAGACATAAGAGAAGAAGAATGAGTTTTAAATATTACTTTTAAAAAGAGGTAGAGGCCGGGCGCGGTGGCTCAAGCCTGTAATCCCAGCACTTTGGGAGGCCGAGACGGGTGGATCACGAGGTCAGGAGATCGAGACCATCCTGGCTAACACGGTGAAACCCCGTCTCTACTGAAAAACAATACAAAAAACTAGCCGGGCGAGGTGGCGGGCGCCTGTAGTCCCAGCTACTCGGGAGGCTGAGGCAGGAGAATGGCGTAAACCCAGGAGGCGGAGCTTGCAGTGAGCAGAGATCCGGCCACCGCACTCCAGCCTGGGTGACAGAGCGAGACTCCCTCTCAAAAAAATAAAAATAAAAATAAAAAAATAAAAATAAAAAGAGGTAGAATTTATGTATTTTAAACTTTCTACTTGTGTTTTGCCATGTTTTAAAAACTTTCTAAAACAAGCATGTGTAGCTTACACAATTAACAATTCTGTTTACCAAGGGGAGAATGCTTACTCAGCTATAAATGTTAAATTGAGATTGGAGAAGAATGGACATGAGGGCATGATGCATCAGAAATCTCAATATAATAATCAAGTGTCCAAGAGAAAAATAATTTTGTTACTACTGAAGGTCTAATTTGTTCGAAGTAGATAAAATCAGCCATGTAAATTACAAAAAACATAACTTCAGCTCTATCTGCTTTACCACAGAGTAAATGTTGACAAGATTTTAAGATAGAATAGAAAACAAAGGACTTCTGGTTAAAATGGAAACATGGCAGACTGAAATATACTTTACCTACTCTTCCCTCCTGAAACTCTACTACAATGTCAGTAAAGGCTGTGTGTACACACACACATGCACACACGCATTTAAGAGACAGAAAGACAGAGAGATAGAGAGAGAGAGAGAACATAAAAGACGACAGCAACAATGTAATTTTGACTGCTGAAAAGCTGATGCGTGTAAATTGCCTCTGTAGATCAAAAGAAGCTGAAATAGAAGCCCATGAGGAGGAAAGCCAGGGATTTCCAAAAACAGTCTTGAGAGTTGAAAGTACCAGGTACTTCAGAATGTAAGGGACACAAGTAGAGAAGAAAACAAGAGGATTGATTTAAAATCTACTTAGGACATGGTTTATTTCCCAGATCTGTAGCACCACCCCCAGTCAGGCAACTTTCTCTTTCTGACCTTGGCAGAAAATTAGAGGTTTACTCTCTGGAGATGTCAAGCCAGAGAACTCTGGGCTTAGGGCATTAGGTAGAGAGGAGAATAAGAATACCGTACCAAAAACAGGGAAAGTAGCTGAAAGTCTCTATTCTAAACATTCTCTTCCATGGCTCAGCTTTAGAATTCTGGCAGTCATATTTAAAGGCAGGAGATTGGTGGATTTCTCTAAAAGGAAAATTATCAGCCCAAGAGGAAAGCAAAGCAAGGCAAAACAAAACAAAACAAAATGTAGACAGTTGGGGAGTCCTTCAATAAAATTGGAGTCAATTATTCTTCGGTGAAGCCCAGTCTTTAATAAGCCCTGTTCTCTCTCACACATACAACTGTAAGGCTTCTGTCTCCTTATTGTTGTTATTTTTAAAAATTATTATTTCAGAAATGACGATCTCACTGGTACTATCTCTGTTTCCTTCAGTCTCAAGTGATCCTGGGCTCAAGTGATCCTCCCACCTCAGCCAGGCAAATGGCTAGGATTATAGGTGCATGCCGCTGCACCTGACTTGGCTTCTTTCTTAATATGAGCCAAAATAAGAATGACAAGAGATTTAGGAAAAACTTTTAACATCAGAAGGGACCAAACAAAGAAAAAGGTAACATGAACAAAACAAATCATGTAGGAAGTAGAAGGAAAAAAACTGTAATTATCATCAGGGAAATAAGAAAAGGTATTACATCCATGACACACACACAAAAAGTTATAAAAAGTCAATATTTGGAAAACAAAATAAAGACCTTAGACATTTAAAAATGTGATGCAAGAAACAAAAATTTAAATGTTCTATGGAAAGGATTAAGAAAATGTCTTAAAAATGTAGAACAACAACAAGAAGAAAATGTAAAATAACAGAGTAAACATAAAGTCTACATGTCCATCATTTGAATAATATCAATACCAGAAAAAGACCAGAGCAAATGGAGGGGAATATTGTCAAATAAATAATCTAATATTTTTCAGAATGAAAGGACATATTTCCAGATTGAATGAACTCCACCAACTACTCAGCATCCCACATTAAAGCAGACTCATGCAGAATACATACATCATCATGAAATTTCGGAACACTGGGAACATGCAGACCCTAGAAGCATCATGATTTTTTTAAAAACTCACATACAAAGGATTGAAAATCGGAATATTGTCAGACTTCTAACAGCAAGTTAAACTGTAGAACAATGGAGCAATGTCTTCAAAGTTCTCAGAGAAGATTGTTTCCAACCTCTAATCTGTACACTAACAACTAATAAAGTGTGAAGTTAGAACAAGGACAGTTTCAGGCAAGCAAGATCTCATCAAATTTACATTCTATGCGTCATTTCTCAGAAAGCTAGAGGAGGATGTGTTCACTAAGTAAAGAGTAAACTAAGAAAGGGCAAGATATGGAATCCAAGGAACAGGGACCTCACTCAAGAGAGTCAAAGGGAATTCCTTGGATGACAGCAAAAGAAGATTCCCGCGGCAACAGCTGTGTTGCATCCTTGAATGTGACTGACCCAGATTGAAGAGGAGGACAGAACCTCCAGGAGGAAATGAAGAAGTAATATGTATAAAATTGACATAATCTTCAATATGTTTGATGTTTTCAGTGGAGATTACAATTCTGTAATAAAATTTAGAATGCATTAATTAAAACTATCAAATGGGAAAAAATAAGATCGTTATTAATTCCAGGGAAAATATAACATTATACAAGAAAGGAATATAATTAACAAAGTACTTGCCTCAGATAAATAATTTTTGCATAGACAAATTAATGTAAGCCCAAATACTAATCTATCTGAAAATATGGTGAGGTGGTTTGGCTGTGTCCCCACTCAAATCTCATCTTGAATTGTAGCTCCCATAATTCCCATGTGTCATGGAAGGGACCCAGTAGGCGGTAATTGAATCATGGGGGCAGGTCTTTCCCATGCTGTTCTTGTGATAGTGAATAAGTCTCACGAGATCTGATAGTTTTATAAAGAGGAGTTCCCCTACACATGCTCTTTGCCTGCTGCCATGTAAGATGTGACTTTGTTCCTCCTTTGCCTTCTTCCATGATTATGAGGCCTCCTCAGCCATGTGGAATTGTGAGTCAATTAAACCTCTTTCCATTATAAATTACCTAGTCTCAGGTTTGTCTTTATTAACAGCATGATAATGGACTAATACAGTAAATTGGTACCAGGAGTCTGGGGTGCTGCTGTAAAGATACCCAGAAATGTAAAGGTGACTTTGGAACTGGGTAACAAGCAGAGGTTGGAACAGTTTGGAGGGTACAGAAGAAAACAGGAAGATGTGGGAAAGTTTGGAACTTCCTAGAGACTTGTTGAATGGCTTTGACCAAAATGCTGATAGTGATATGGACAATAAAGTCCAGGCTGAGGTGGTCTCAGATAGAGATGAGGAACTTGTTGGAAACTGGAGCAAAGGTGACTTTTGCCATGTTTAGCAAAGAGACTGGCAGCATTTTTCCCCCGCCCTAGAGATTTGTGGAACTTTTTTTTTTTTTTTTTTGGAGACTGATCTCACTCTGTGCCAGGCAGGAGTGCAGTGGCACTATCTCAGCTCAGTGCAACCTTCGCCTCCTGGATTCAAGCAATTCTCCTGCCTCAGCCTCCCAAGTAGCTGGGACTACAAGCATGCACCACCATGCCCAGCTAATTTTTGTATTCTTAGTAGAGTCAGGGTTTCACCATGTTGGCCAGGATGGTCTTGATCTCTTGTCCTCATGATCTGCCCATCTCGGCCTCCCAAAGTGCTGGGATTACAGGCATGAGACAGAGATTTGTGGAACTTTTAACTTGAGAGAGATGATTTAAGGCACCTGGCCAAAGAAATTTCTAAGCAGTGAAGTGTTCAAGAATTGACTTGGGTACTGTTAAAAGCATTCAGTTTTACATATTCACAAAGATATGGTTTGGAATTGGAACTTATGTTTAAAAGGGAAACAGAGCATAAAAGTTCAGAACATTTACAGCCTGATTATGCCATAGAAAAGAAAAACCAATTTTCTGAGGAGAAATTCAAGCTGGCTGCAGAAATTTGCATAAGTAATGAGGAGCCAAATGTTAATTCCCAAGACAATGGGGAAAATGTCTGCAGGGCATATCAGAGGTCTTCACTGCAGTCTTTCCCATCACAAGCTGGGAGGCCTAGGAGGAAAAAATGGTTTTGTGGTCTGGGCCCAGCTCCCCATCCCATCCACTCCAGCTGTGACTAGCTATGATGGTACAGCTTGGGCCATGGCTTCGGAGGGTGCAAGCCCAAGCCTTGACGGCTTTCACATGGTATTGAGCCTATGGGCACACAGAAGTTTGCTGTAGGGATGGGGCCTCCTGGAGAACCTCTGCTAGGGCAGTGCAGAAGGGAAATGTGGGGTTGGAGCCCCCACACAGAGTCCCCACTGGGGCACTGCCTACTAGAGGTGTGAGAAGGGGCTCACTGTCCTCCAGGCCCCAGAATGGTAGATCCATCAACAGCTTGCATCATGTGCCTGGAAAAGCCAGACACTCAATGCCAGCCTGTGAAGACAGCCAGAAGCAGGGGAGTGTACTCTGCAAAGCCACAGAAGTGGAGTTGCCCAAGGCCATGAGAGTCCACCTCTTGAATCAGCATGACCTGGATATGAGACATGGAGTCAAAGGAAATCATTTTGAAGCTTTAAAATTTGACTGCCCTGCTAGATTTCAGACTCCCATGTGGCCTTTAGCCCCTTCATTTAGGCCAATTTCTCTTGTTTGGAATGAGTGTACTTACCCAATGTAACCATGTGGAACTGTGAGTCCATTAAACTTATTTTCTTTATAAATTACTCAGTCTCAGGTATGTATGTATTAGCAGCATGAGAATGGACTAATACATATGATATAGCTATATATAAGTGGATGAGAGAAAAGTCTGTGGGGGTATTCAGGGAAGTTATGATGTATCTTCAACAGTGAAGAGTGCCTAGACAATATCTGAAATGCAAAATTAAAAAGTATAGAATAAACTTGTTTATTAAAACATGGAGGCTGCGGTAGGCATTCATTATTTCTTTTAAGGGTGTCCAGCGTCTTTCAAACAACATCCTTTTTAAGCAATTATTTTTAATTTTTATGGGTACATAGTAGCTGTATATATTTATGGGGTATATGAGATATTTTAATACAGGTATACAATGTGTAATAATCACATTAGTGTAAATGGGGGTATTCATCACCTTAAGCATTTATTATTTCTTTGTGTTATGAACATTCCAATTATACTCTTTTCATTATTTTTAAATGAAATTAAATAATTTAAATAAATTATTGTCGACTGTGGTCACTTTGTTGTGCTATCAAATACTGGATCTTATTCATTCTATCTAACTGTATTTTTGTACCTATTGACCATCCCTACTTTCTCTCCCCACCCCACTATCCTTCCTAGCCTCTGGTAACCATCATTCTATTTTTTTTTTTTTTGAGATAGAGTCTCACTCTGTCACCCAGGCTGGAGTGCAGTGGCACGATCTCAGCTCACTGCAAGCTCCACCACCCGGGTTCACGCCATTCTCCTGCCTCAATTTCCCGAGTAGCTGGGACTACAGGCGCCTGCCACCATGCCCGGCTAAGGTTTGTATTTTCTGTAGCGATGGGGTTTCACCGTGTTAGCCAGGATGGTCTCCATCTCCTGACCTCGTGATCTGCTTGCCTTGGCCTCCCAAAGTGCTGGGATTACAGGCAGGAGCCACCGCACCCGGCCCATTCTATTTTTTATCTCCACGAGTACAATTGTTTTAATTTTTAGTTCCCACAAATGAGTGAGAACATGTGAAGTTTGTCTTCCTGTGCCTGGCTTATTTTACTTAACATAATGACCTCCAGTTCTACCCATGTTGTTGCAAATGACAGGATCTCATTCTTTTTTATGGCTGAATAGTACTCCACTGTGTATATGTGCTACATTTTCTTAATCCATTTGTCTGTTGATGGACACTTAGGTTGCTTCCAAATCTTGGCTATTGTGAATACTGCTGCAATAAAGATGGGATTACAGATATCTCTTTGATATCCTGATTTCCTTTCTTTAGGGTATGTAGCTGGCAGTGGGATTGCTTGATCTCATTGTGGCTCCATTTTTAGTTTTTTTGAGGAACCTCCAAACTGTTCTACATAGTGGTTGTACTAATTTACATTACCATCAACAGTGTACAAAGGTTCCCTTTTCTCCACATTTTCACCAGGATTTATTATTCTCTGGCCTTTTGATAAAAGCCATTTTAACTGGAGTGAGATGCTAGCTCATTGTAGTTTTGATGTGCATTTCTCTGATGATTAATGATTTTGAGCACTTTTTCATATATCTGTTTGCCATTTGTATGTCTTCTTTTGAGAAATGTCTATTCAGATCTTTTGCCCATTCTTAGTTGGATCATTACATTTTTCCCTATTAAGTTGTTCAAAACTGGAGGAATGATATTAACTGACTTGAAATTATGCTACAGCGCTCTAGTAACCTATATTCTGGCTGTTAGTTTCTTGTCAAATGGGTAGTCTGCAAATATTCTCCCATTCTGTGGGTTGTCTCTTCTTTGTTAATTGTTTCCTTTGCTGTGCAAAATATTTTTTTTTTTTCTTTTTGAGACGGAGTCTCACTCTGTCACCCAGGCTGGAGTGCAGCGGTGTGATCTTGGCTCAGTGCAACCTCCGCCTCCTGGGTTCAAGTGATTCTTCTGCCTCAGCCTCCCAAGTAGCTGGGACTACAGGCATGGGCCACCACACCCAGCTAATTTTTTTTTTTTGTATTTTTAGTAGAGATGGAGTTTCACCATGTTAGCCAGGATGTTCTGGATCTCCTGACCTCGTGATTTGCCTGCCTCAGCCTCCCAAAGTGCTGGGATTACAGGCATGAGCCAATATGCCTGGCCAAGATTTTTAACTTGATGTGATCTCATTTGTCCATTTTTGCTTTGGTTGCCTGTGCTTATGGGGTATAACTCAAGAAATCTTTGCCCAGTTCAATGCCTTGTAGAGTTTCCCCAATGTTTTCTTTTAGAAGTTTCATAGTTTGAGGTCTTAGATTTAAGTATTTAATCCAGTTTGATTTGATTTTTGTATATGGTGAGAAATAGGGGTCTAGATTCGTTTTTCTACATATGGATATCGAGTTTTCCCAGCACCATTTGTTGAAGGCACTATCCTTTCCTCAACATATGTTCTTGGCACCTTTGTTCAAAACTGGAGGAAAATGAGTTTACTGTGGATGTGTGGGTTTATTTGTGGATTCTCTATTCTGTTCCATTGGCCCATGTGCCTGTTTTTATGCCACTAACATGCTGTTTTGGTTACTATAGCTCTGTAACATAATTTGAAGTCAGGCAGTATTATTTCTCCAGTTTTGTTCTTTTTGCTCAGGATAGTTTTGGCTACTCTGGGTCTTTTGTTCTATATACATTTTAAGATCATTTTTTCTTTTTTGTGATGAATGTCTTTGGTATTTTGATAGGGATTGCATTGAATCTGTAGATTGTTTTGTGTAGTATGGACATTTTAACAATATTGGTTCTTCCAATCCATGAAGATGGAATAGCTTTCCATTTTTTCGGTGTCCTCTTCAACCTCTTGCATCAATGTTTTATAGTTTGCTTTTTTTCACTTTTGAATTTTTATTTAAAAACAGAAAATTCTGAAATGCTTTTATGTGTTTCTTCCAATCAAAGTAAATGATCCTTTAAAAACTTACACAATTTTCAGCTTGGCGCAGTGACTCAGGCCTGTAATCCCAGCACTTTGGGAGGCCGAGGCAGGTGGATCACCTGAAGTCGGGAGTTGGAGACCAACCTGACCAACACGGAGAAACCACGTCTCTACTAAAAATACAAAATTAGCCAGGTGTGATGGCACATGCCTGTAATCCCAGATACTCAGGAGGCTGA